ATTAAATAGTACGTTCAAAATTATTATTTATTAATAAGTGATTCTGTGAATAATTCATTAGTAGTATTTTTCCATTGATGTCTCAAATTATCCATATATAAAGCTAAAACGCTTATGCTAACTCATACAAAAATTATTATTTATTATTTGTAGTTTACAAATCACAAATCAAATCACACTTCTGAATGAACATTCGTCAGTAGCATTATGAGTGGAAGGAATATTATTCTTCAAAATATGAACACACCAAACTACATTTGCACTATTATATTAAATAATGTTAAAATTACTTACGATTTCAGACTAAAGTTTGTCTTAAAATCAGTAAAAAAAAATAATAAATTAAAACAATTACACATGGCGACAGAATTCTATAACAAATTTAGCGGATCCTGTTTCATTTAAAAATAGTGCAAGATAGATTGTAATTCTAGTGTATTCATATTTTAAAATATAGGTGATATATTATTTATAATTCCTCACAATTTTGTTATTAAAAATATGCATAAAAATTTTTCCTATAACTAGATTTAATATAATAAAATTTATTAATAAGTTAAACATTTATTTATTTCATAAATTAAATGCATACACTTGTTGAAAATATAAATGTTGATATGAGGAATCAATAAGTAGACAAAGATAAACTTATTGCAAGTGTATCTATGATATTATATAGTCATATAAAAGTATAGTATAAAAAATCACATCATAAATTTTTTAAAATCAATTTTTATTGAATTAGTGTTATTGCAGCATTTTGTCGGGCTTTGTTACTAATTTAATTATGTATTTCACGCATGTTTTACAATACCTCTAATGAGATATTGTATTCAAAGCCCAAATAAAACTCTCTATTCAAACATTATATTTATATAAGAAATTTCAAATTTATAAATGTAATTTCAACATTCAATAATAAACAAAAATAGCACAAAAATTAATATAAAAAAATCTGTTGTTAACACAATCTGGACTTGTTTTTCATAAAGAATGCTAAAATCATATCAAGTTAATACGCAATTACAACGATATTAATTACTCAATTATTTTATATCAATGTACTAATTGGGTACTTGGATAACAACCTTGGCATGTAACAAAAACTTGACCTTTGCAAATTACGTTTATAGAATTAATATATAGCCATCAGGCAATAAAATGAAACATGCCGTATATCTATTGGAATTAAAATAACCTTTAGACGTCATAAATTGATGATAAATGGAGCATGCATGAACACTGTGAAAATCACGAAAACACTTTTACAACATTTTCATCGCCATGGCAAATTACAAAACAATTGAAGTTATGAAACAGCTCTGTGCAAATTAACGTATTTTTGGAAAATGTTCGATCATTTCCTCTTACTCCAACGTTTTTATGATAATCATCATGACATAGCTTTTTTATGCACGTGGTTTTATTTTTCAATTTAATTTAAAAGCTTTGAGTGCATGTATCATTCGGGATCAGAAAAAAACGCCAATTTTAGTCGGCGGTAAATCATCAATTTTAATTAAAAAGTAGAAAATGTTTTATCGTTTTCGAAATTGTAAATAATGAATTATTGAACATGGAAAAAACACATTTAACTTTGGTTAAGTAAATAATGGTGTATTTGAATCATTTAATCGACGTCGTGCAACGTTCATATGTGCAGGCTGAAAGCTATTAATGTGCGAGTACGCGAACATTAGCGTTTGTGATGGGTAAATTATCAAGTCGTGCGAAAAACGAAATTCTGCATACCATACTAAAATATTTAATTACTAATAAAAATTGTTGTTGGGAAAAAATTCAGAACAAACTGGATAATTTATAATTAAATTTTTGGAATTAAAATATAAAATTAGTCTACTTGAATCAAGTTAAATTTAAACATACTACATCTTTTATGAATTTATTATCTTCCCGTTGAGTAAGTTATAGTAATCGTCCAAAAATCGAGAATGAAAATTTTTGCATATATACGTTTATGTTATATTTATTAAATATATTTACGTTTCAAAGACTTTTGAACAATTTGGCGTACCTTAAAATAATGAATGTGTATATGTATGTGTGGATACAATTTTTGGTCCATGTTTTCGGCAGCACGAATCAACCGATTAAAATTATTCAAAAAACATTCGATACCTATTAATGAGAAAACATGCTGATGAGTTTTTGGAAGAAATGTTGGTCCAGCCGTTTCGAAGTTACATAGCAAATACTGCAAAAAATGGCAGTTAAGTTTTTGAGAGTACAGAGCATCCGATTGCATAATTTAATTATAAATTATGCAACTTTGTTTAAATTTTTTTTTCATTATAATGTATTAATGCTTTTTTGTTGTATGATGAGAAGCATATGGTTCTCTAAACGAAGATTTTGAAATAAATATTATATTCCATTTCAATGAATTCAAATATGCTGTTTTTTTTTCATTTCTAAATGCAAATATGTTAATTGAAACAATTAAATAGTTTTGCTTAAATACTTTGCCAGTAGTATCTTCTCGTAATTGCATGTTTCTATTATAATTATCATCTATTATTAACATTGTTAACAATTGTTAATTGCTCTATAATTTGATTTATTATTATTTACATAAAATAAATATATTGCAATAAAAATAAATAAAAAAAGTCAAAGCTGCCAATTGATTCAAATATGTTTCGACTTTGAACAAAAAAACTTCAATATATATAGCATATATTCATACAACAAATATTACAAAATAATCTCTTTTTTATATTGGGCCTTACAATCGCAGACACGTGTCTCTCATTCAACATTTTTCCTAGGCATTTTTTTATTTAAAAAAATAGATTTCACAAACAAGAAAAATGTTCGGGTCGTTCTACCTGGCCTTACATTTTATATAAGTCAATTTAAAACGAAGAAGAGTCAGATCCAGTAGTTTGTATGATGATTCGAACCGAGGCTGCATATTCTCATACAATTTCGAGTAATACTTTATACATGTCTGGCTAAATGGGCAACAGTGTTACGTGTATGCTGCCTGTATGATGTATCGTATCATTTCATTCGCGCAGGTATCCATTATACTCGACAGCTAATGGCACATAGTGGGGAATATGGAACATGGTGTTAGTACTGGACTTCTAAGTACCACCCTGGCAAATTCACAAATGTTGTTTTGGGAAGGACCGTTTCTTAAACAGCTATTTTGCTATGTGGGGAAAACGCCACTTAGCACATATGACATGGGATTGATATCGTATGATAATACCTATATGAGTCTGGTATTAAACTTTACATGATATTAAATATTTACATTGGCATCATACAAAAATAATTGAAAATGTGGTTAATAAAATTTTTATTTTTCTAGCTAATGCAATGCACTATTCACATGCCGATTCTGCTGTAAAATAGACCAATGTTACGTAGAGCTGGCTTCTCATACAAAATTTTACTAAAATTTTGACAGTATTTAGTACCATTTTGTATGTGAAGTTCTGCGTAACATAGACAAAATTGAACACTTAATGTAATAATTTAATCTATTCAGTTCTAAAATTAAGCCTTTTATACAAAATGATACTAATTTTTTTTAGTATTTAGTGCCATTTTGTATGAGAAGCTCTGAGAAATTGCTCTTTTTTACAACAGAATTGATCTCTTAGTGTTATAATTTAATCTATGAAGTTCGAAAATTAAGTTTCTCATACAAACTGGTACTAAAATTCTGACAGTGCTTAGTACCATTTTGTATGAGAAGCTCTACGTAATATAGTCTCTACGTAAAATTGATCTTTTTTCTGGCAGAATCAGCCCCTTGATGTTATAATTTGATCTATCAAGTTCTAAAATAAAGCTTCTCATACAAAATTGTACTAAAATTTAGACAGTATTTAGTACTATTTTGTTTGAGAAGCTCTACGTCACATAGTCTCTACGTAAAATTGATGTATTTTAGGGCAAGTTGGAACTGATAGCATTCCTCAACTGCTTGATATCGAGCTGACAGAGAGGTGTTGAACCTGTAACTTTGTCGTTGCAAGGTTAAAAGTTTTACTTCTATGTCATAGAAAAGCTTCATGAGAATTGCTTGTTTATAAAATATAAAACACCACATTCATTTAAATGCTGTTATATATTAAAATCTAAGTAAGAAAAATTTAATGTCGATATTGTTATTGCCAAAAAGCAACTGATATATGCCAGGGATTAAAATATTAAATAACAATAATATTAGACGTTAATTTTGAAAGATGAAATATTCCAAAAATAAAATTATCAAAACAAACCTATGAGACGCATATAAAAGAATTAAGATATTAATACTTCAATGGAATTAATTAATTAATTGTTATTATTCAGAAATTTTATTTATTTTTTTTATTAATTTTATTATTATTATTAGATGCTTTTATTTTATATTAAATCATCTTACTACGGATATCATTTTAATGAAAATAATATCCTTTATTTTGTACTCTTTTTTATTTAATATTATGTTATTGCTCCTCATTGTTACTAGATGTTAAATTATTTAACAGTTGTAATTTAAAAAAAACTTAATGGAATGTTAAATTGAACAGCAGTTCTATTATGAACAATTACCAATTAGTGTAATTATCATTTTTGAGTAGTACCGATTATTTATTTACTTTAAAAGTTAATTATTTTCCCTATTATCAAATGATATTACTCATATACGAGTATTACTTTTCCTGTAATAAAGTGCCTACTACGTAACAGATGAAGAATAAAACAGTAAAGTTTTTCAATACCTCGTTTATAGTTAAATCTGTTCCACGCCAGTGGCTTCGAAATTCGATTTAACAATAACAATGACAAGTTTACAACTTATTTTATGGAACAATAAAAATTGCGACGCTTTCACATTTTCTAAAAGAAATAACTCATTCTTATAGCCTTGGATAAAGTTTTATCATATGGGCGATTTTCGATTATAATTTACAATGTTCAAGGTATAATCGTCGGTAAAGAATAGATCATATTAAATAAATAAATAAAGATGAGTAATGGCGTTGTTTTTTCTTAATTGTTTAGGTGTTTTTAATGATATACGTTATTGGGATCTATTGATCAACAGTATCATTGCAATTACAGAAAAGTGTCAAGGTAATAGTTGAAATTTGAAGATATCATTACTTTTATCAAATTTTAGATTTAGTCCATTTAATTCTAAATATTCTTATACTATTTGAAGCATTCGAACAAAATTTCGGCAACATATTGATTTTAAAGCAGATACTTGTGTTTCATACCAGATTCAGGATTTTGAACAAATGTGATGTTATATATTTTACAAACAAGCAATTCTCATGTAGCTTTTCTATGGCATAGAAGTAAAACTTTTAACCTTGCAACTACAAAGTTACAGGTTCTTGAAAAATTGATATTTTTTGAATTGTTATCTCTTAAAATTAATGTATTATGTTATTTATTTTTAATATTTTAATTTCTGGTGAATCTTAGTTGCCTTTTAGCAAAAATATGGTTATCATATTTCTTACTTAGATTTTTGCATATATCAGTAGTTAAATAAAAACTTTAGGTAAATTGATATTTTTTGAACAGTCATCCGACAAAATAATATTTTTTTAATATTTATTTTGAACATTTTAATCTTAATCTTCTTTGGTAAATCTTAGTTATTTTTTGGCATTATTAACATTGACATTACATTATTCTTACTCAGAATTTAACATATATCACCCCTTGAGTATAAATAATTTTAAATAATTTGACTTTTCTAGAGCTGTTAACTATAAAAAAAATCAAGGTAACTAATGGCAAGTAGTTTTTCGGCAAATTTTTTCCTTATTACTACAGTATTTACTGTATTTCTTTATTCATTAACACTATTCGATTTCCCTTGACACACTTTAAAAGAATTAAGTATTTATATATATATATATATATATATATATATATATATTTATATATATATATATGTGTGTGTATATATATATATATATATATATATATATAAATTTAGCACTAGGATTAACTAATTTTTCTACTGAAATGAAGGCTAGGATTATAGCCAAAACGTATGGATGTAAAATAAATTTTTGAAAGAAATTTGTTGTTTATTTATGATATGCCTGATTACTAGACTTTGTTTATATATATATATATATATATATATAATCACAGTCATTTTTATTTTGGATGATATACATGTAAAGAATCTTCCAGAATTACATCAAATAAAAATCAAAAAAGTTTGAAAATATGCATGAGTGGATACAAGTTAAAGTTACGTTAACCTTTCTATAAATATGTTTTAAACATGTTAAATTAAATATATTCACAATATATAATCAGTTTCTCCATAGTTATTAAAAACCACTCTTGGTTTATCTACCGAATCTTCAAAACCCGGATGATTTTGATATAAAAGCTCTACTTTTCACATATATCCAAGCTTTTAGACTTATTTCCTTGTACCATAAAATAAATTTGAACGTGTATGCTTATTGTAATGGGTATAAATTTTATTACTTATCAAAGTTCTCAAATCCAATACATTTACAACAATTCATTTGTATCTCAATGATTATAAAATTTTCTCTAGTTTTATCTACCGGATCTACATAACCCCGATGGTCTTGAAATAAATGCTCAACTTCCCACATAGCTCCGAGCTTTTAGTTTTATGCCTTTGCATCATATAAAAGCTTTTGGTTTTACAAACGTATTAAAATCAAAACATTCTGATGCACATTTACGATGGGTAATACGACCTCGAGTTGTATACAGCACCGCGTATGCCGCTCGGTTGTGCAAATCCTATGGCCGGCATAATATGTATGAGTCGTCGGGACTTTACTTTGTGTCCCAGCAGCCAGGAAATGACCAGGACGCTAATCCTGGTTTACTAGGCTTCTCAACACTCATACAGAGAATTTCAATTAACCCACCATGCGTTTCGGGTGCAGGGTACAGGGTGCATTCAGACGTGTACGTGCAATCTCCAATGTTCCGGATATAGCATATATATGAACTCCTATTGTGATCATTAAACCTATACAAGGACCCACCTGCCTACTACTACCATGCTCGAAATGATAATTGAAATTGAAACTGATAATACTATAATACTTGCTGCATGGTAAAAATCACATTATAAAAGATTTCGAGAAGCGCTGTGTCTAATCAAATGCGTGCCTAACGAGAAAAATGGGAATAAAATTATTAGCTCCTCAATTTTTTTAAATCCAGCAAAAATTAATTATTAGAAAAATCTTGTATGTCATTATAGATATTCTCTATACTATCCGATTTAAAGCTCTTATAAAACCGTTTCATGCCTAAATAAATCCATTTCTGTTTTGAAGTTACGTTTATTTACTAAAAAATCTGTTGGGTTCGTAATTAATCAAAATTCTAAATTTCTTCGTTCGACAATGATATTCAAACATATTATATAAAAAAATTTTGAGACATAGTAAATCTCAAATTATTTACAAAAATCGTATATAATGATTCACACAATTTGTAAGATTATTTCCCCGATAGAGAAGTTTAGGCTCTTGCCAGAAAATCCAAACTACCATGGTTTCAAGCTATTCTGAATCGTTTGATACCAAAGTAGGAAGAAGACAATTTGTATGTGAGTGTATATTAGCTTAAATTTGACCTTTGTCAATGTTTTCAAAGAGGGTTCACAGATATTAAACATTTAAAAGCCATTTGATAAAACCCAAAAAAAACAGCAATCGAAAATCCGAATTACCGAATTAATTTCAACCGAATCAATTCTGAATCGTTTGACACTAAAATTGGAAGAAGAAAATTAGTATGTGAGCGTATATTAGCTCAAATTTGACCCTAAATTTTTGTCGATATTTTCATAGAGAGGGTGCACAGATACCAAACATTAAAAAGCCCTTTGATAAAACCCAAAAAGAACCAGCCTTGGAAAATCTGAATTACGAAATTAATTTCTAGTCATTCTGAATCGTTTGATACTAAAGTAGAAAGAAGAAAATTTATATGTGAATGTATATTAGCTTAAATTTGACCTTAAATTTTTGTCAATATGTTCAAAGAGGGTACACAGATACCAAACATTAAAAAGCCATTTGATAAACCCAAAAAGAACTGGCATTCGAAAATCCAAATTACCGAATTAATTTCAAGTCATTCTGAATCGTGTGACACCAAAATAGGAAGAAGAAAATTTGTATGTGAGTGTATATTAGCTTAAATTTGACATTAAATTTTTTGTCAATAATTTGTATGTTTTTTAAACAAATTTTAAATATCTTCAAATTTGATGGTCTTATAAAAAATATAAAAATGTATTACAATTCGAATTAATCGGTTGCTTCAGAATATCATGATGCTATCGTAAAAATTTTAAAATTCGCTAAAACTCAATTCTTAATGATTGAAACGATTATTTACACACGTCGCGAAGTTTATAAATTATGACAAGATGCCATCTACAACTAGTTCTATCACATTTTCGATTTACGAAATATAAATCATTTAAGTAAAAATATAAATCATTATTCATATTAGAATAGGGGCTCGCCCGTAGGTAAGCGGTTAAGAGCGATGGGACTTGTTTCAGAGGTCCCGAGTTCGATACCCACTTCGAGCAGCCTGTTGTCAGGCAACATTGACAACGATTTTCACTTGGAAATATAGATAGCAATATGTTTCCAAGTGAAAATAGCCCTCAGCCGGCATTGTTGCACCATACTTGCCCTATTACAGAGATTGTAATAAAAATTTATCATACAGAGATGTGCCAACTGTTTGGGTTGCCATCTGTAATAAAACAAACGTAGTTTGTAAGATCTTACTCACAACAGCCCATAGAACCCATTAGTTCTGATTGCTGTTCAAATAAAAAAAAAAAAAAAAAATAGAATTATTTAAGTAGAAATATAAATCATTTTTACAAAAATATTAACTGTAACGTTATCCACTTTAATTAAAATGATAACTCAACCAATTTCAATAGAACAATAACGTACCTATATCAAATGGGTTATTATTAAATAATGAGCGAATGTTTAATTTATTATTGTTAATTTGCATGATAATTACACAATTATACACCGAATTTTGTAAAATCCGAGTTGTCACTTCATGGGCCTAATTTTAATATAATTATTTTATATGCAAAATGTTTGAATGCAAACGCACGATTTAAACGGAAATTAATGCGAGGTAAATGACTGTTAATATCGTTTATATAACTGTTTGTACAAAAGCCGATTATCGTGACATAAACTCATTAACCACAGATGTGTGGTAAATATTTGCTCTGTTAATGCCCTTATAAAATAATTAATAGCTTGTTACACACATTACAGAAAAACATGACTTTACCTAATAACGGCGCTAGTTAAACACAAAGTTATTGCGACGTAAAACACGATAGATGAAAATGCTGGAAAGAGTTGACAGTTCACTCAGGATTATTAATTGTTCACTTAGTTTTAAATATTCTGATGATAAACTTTTAATTAGAATATTTAATGCGATCGAATAATTCACCTCAATTACTGATAATATAAGTAATACGTTCAGAGAAAATGCCACTTGGACAATATGGATATACAAAAATATCAATGCGTTAGAAATAGGTATCTTTTACTGTATTGTGCATTATTTAGATATTGTATATTAATCATTTAGGTATTCAATATTAATTAACTTTTTGTGTAGTAAGTTATAATAATTGTCCAAAAATCTAAAATAAAAAATTTTGCATATCTTTACATTTCAAAGGATTGTGAACATTTTGTCATACCTTAGAAAACGTGTATGAGTGTGTATGCCTGTGTGTTTTCGGGAGCACCGCTCAGCCGGTTTGAATGATTCAAAAGATTCATTCAATTCGTAATGACGGGAGTGGAGCTTAGTTTTTGACAAAGACAGATCCAGCCGTTTTAGAAATTCAAAGCTAAATGTGTGAAAAAAATTGCAGGTTTAGTATATCATCTGATTAGAATGATTCAATTAATGTGCAAATCATATTGTTGCGAGGACTTGCTGATTAGTTTCTGGACACAGACAGGTCCATCCGTTTTGGAGATACAGGCCAAAAAGTGCAAAAAATAACAATTTTTTTATATTTTTGAGCAAGCATCCGATTTGAATGATTTGAAAGTCATAAAACATTTTACTTGCATTGACGAAATAGAGAAGTTTCGATTTTTTTTTTTTAAAGCAGGCCCAGCTGCTTCTAGGCTGCAGTGAAAAACGTTAGAAAAATGACATTTGGTGGTCAAAAATGATCATTACAAATTATTATCATTGATTTATATATGCATGAAATTATTGATACACAGGTCAACTGTTAGTCAGGTGATTATGAACAAGATCAGTAAGATCAGTTTTTAACTTAATTTGATAGAAGATTTGTATATACTGGAAATGACATTAAATTAATTTCAAATTTTACTAATTAAATTAGCTCTATACACAGACGTATTTTGAATAGTTACACCCAATTACTCAACATTTAATTTTCTATGCCTATATGCTTTACACCCCCCTCTCTCCTAATCCACAATATCATATGAGTTTGCTTAAATATAAAATTCTAAATACGTTTAGTGAAATAACTGAAACAGATATTTTTTAAGTCAATAAGAGATTTACTGCCAATAATAGCCTTAAAAACATTTAGTATTAGTTCTGCTTTCGATTCTGTAGCATTTAAACCAAATCATTTTTTATAGGTTGTGTAGGAACGTGAGATCAAAAATAAAAATTATTTTTTATAAAATTAAATTTAAATTTAATTGATTAATGCTCACTATAAAAAGACGTATTTTAAATAGTTACACCCAATGACTGATTAATTATCATTATCATAAATTTTCTATACCCATACGATCAGCACTTCCCCCTTCCTGATCCCCAACACTATATGAACTTGATTTGATATAAAATATTATACATGTCTCTAATACAACCAAACGAGATTTTCCATAAGTCGATTCCGATATATCCATGATAATATTTAGAAATTTCTCAACAATAAGAGCCTTTAAGGTTGTGAAAGAACGTAAGATTAGAATTAAACTTGATTTGATATTTCAAATATTCCTAAAAATGACAAACTAAATTTTGATTTTACTAATTGATACCAAAAAAACGTATTATAAATTGTTACTCGCAATAAATCAATTAATTAATTATCTTTCTCATAAAATTTCTGTACCCATTTCTAGTACACAACTGAAAAAAGTATTCTATAAGATTATTCAGATATTTCAAACAGTTACGTTCAATTACTCCATTAATTATATGCTTAACACCTCCCATCTAGTATATTATGAAAGATATATCTTATAAGTCGTTTCCGATATTTCAAATAGTTACACTCAATTTCTCCATTTTTTTTATTATATTTTTTAACAGCAATCAGAACCTTACGTCCTATGATCTGTTCGGCTGAAACTTCTCCTTACTACGTATATTTAGATGGTAACCCAATGGTTAATACATCCATATTTGATGATTTTTGTTATTAGAATTAATCCAATAGGGCTGACTTTTTATTGGTGCAGCAATGCCGGTCAAGGGCTATTTTTACTTGGAAACATATTGCTATCTATATTTTCAAGTAAAAGGCTATACCCATAAGCTCAACACCTCCCCCCTACCCCTCATCAATGACCCATATGAATTTGCATAAATACAAAAGTACTAAATATGTCTATTATACCATAAGAAATATTTCATAAGACGATTCCGATATTTCCATTCGAATATTTCGAGATTTTCCAACAATAAGAGAGCTCTTGAAATATTGAGTACTAATTCTGCCTTCTACCCTGCAGCGGAATGCGAGGCTCTGAGAGACGTTCGAGTGTCCGTACCGACTGCGGTCCGCCGTGGCGACTCGCTGACGCTGCGCTGCTTATACGACATAGAGGACGACAACCTGTACTCCATAAAATGGTACAAGGATCGCAGGGAGTTCTATCGATTCACACCCAAGGAAAATCCGAGCATGAAAGTGTTCCCGATTCATGGAATCAATGTCGATGTAAGTAAACTTTGTTTTATTAATAGTAACATTTAGTAATGAAGTAGTAAGTCATTTCCTGAAGGAGAAGTTTATTTTTTCCAGGCCAACCTATAAGCTATTTTTATATTCTATTGATTCGAATGAAGAACGCATATGTGTGAATGCATATGAAAAAATTCAAATAATACATGTTAGGTTATTATTAAAAATTAAAAATTCTAATAATATTTGTTGTTAGTTATATATGCTTCCTTATGTACACGTTCGCGAGCAGTAAAAGTTTCAGCAAGGTACCAAAATTAATAGTTGGCTAATTTTTAAATAGGTTGTGGTATCGAAAATTTGTTGAAACAGCTTTTATAAAAGTAGTAAGATTATTGTATTTTATTCGTTTCTAAGATGAATGCTATAGCATTCACGTCAAGTATTACCCTTCTATTTTACACAATCTGCTTGCACCAGGTAGTTAGGGACCAGGGAAAGACTCAGTTAGTCATTACCTTGACTAACGGTACAAGAATTACAAAAACGTAAGGTTATATGAAATTAAATTCATAATAATTGACTTAGAATTGAAATTAGAATGCTATAGCATTCATATCATTCTGCATCACGATGGAAATAAATGCCATAGCATTCACGCCCACGAATAATAAACATTTTTTATGTCAGATTATCGTATTCTAATCATTTTATACGATAAATGCTATAGCATCCACGTCTACTATCACAGTTTTATTTCACGCAATATGTTTCTCAAGCTAATTAGTGACTATGGAAGAAGATAAGATAATACAAAAATACATAAAGAATTAGTTATTTAATACCTTGACAGTTATAAAAATTAAAATAACGTATAGTTGTATAAAATTAAATTCACAATAATTGACTTTGAAATTTAAATGCTATAGCATTTATGTCATTCTGCTACACGATGAAATAAATGCCATAACATTCACGTCCACGAACATGTAAAATAATTCTCTTTAGTGTAAAAATTAGCAGAGCTTTTTTTGATAGCTTAGGACGTAATTGTACTCAAAAAAAATCCTAAATCAATTAAAAAACTCAAAATGTATTGAAAATATAACAGTTTTTGGTCGATCAATTAATTTTTGACAAATTCGTTTTTAAACAATAAGCATTTGAAGAATTTTTTTGCAGTAATTTACAAAATTCAAAATATTACATTCTCGTTCATTGTGTACATTATTTTCAGATACCGCAACTTGTCTTAAGGAAAAATACACATAGTTTTGCAATAAAAAACTGCTTTGAAGTCAATTTTTTATACTATATTATGTAGAGGATTTTTATATTTAATAATGCGTTTTTTAACACCAAAGTATTTTTTATTAAAGTAGTATCACTGACAATATTTGAAGTCCACATAATATAGGTCAGAGGTTAAACGGTTTTAATATAGAACGAGTTAGATGGATGTACAGGTTTCCTTGAATTCTGCAGAGTTTTTATCAAGAACGAGGGTTATTTGGCAAGATTACTTACTACTTACAATCATAATTAATAAAATTCTTATCAAAAATGCAAAATTTACTGATTTATTTATACCATAGTAATATTACAAAATACTAATAATATTAATATAATATACGTGTTTATTGTAAATTATTCATTGATACAGATATTTCTTTACATTAAAGAATTCATTTTAAGCATGTGACTATTATTAAGCACATGCATCACAATTTCAATACGACTTTACATATCAGTTTCTTTGTATAAATGGTTTGTATTCTGGTCTAGAAATTTTTTAAATTGGTGTTTTTTGCATGTTTTTAAAAAGCTAAATATTTTCTTCTTCTGCAAACTTTGAACGTTTTTCTCGGAAATGTCTTCTTCGGTACAATTCCCACGATTTCGTAACTTCTACTACGAAATTTAAAATTTTTACAGAGTCTTCTTTATAGACTTTATGTAATACTTGTATGTACTACGCTCATCCTAAAATTCCTTAAGTTAAAAAGTATAGAAAGAATAGGATTATATGAAGAAGATTGTATAGGATATATGATTGTATAGAACAATGTAGGTGGCTAAATGCTCGAGTAATACTTACTATTTCTATACCTTTTGAAAATGTCAAAAAAGCTTGTGAGAAAATGTTATCTTTGAATTTATCTTGCAATGTTCAAAAAAAACTATAATCATTAACTATAAATAAAAGCCAAATTAAGTCTCCTTTACTTAATTATTTTATTCTTCGTAACATGTATTTTGCAATATGTGAATATATTAGATATTCCCACATGGCCTCAACCTTTTGATAATTATTCGCTTAGTTAAATATTGATTTAGAAACTCATTTTGACATGGTGGTCCATGTAGAGATCTTTTAATAGTCAGTAAGCCGAAAATATATTGCGTTCAAAAGGAAATAAATCTAAAATTCGGATTCTTGCTGGCGGCATACATGGTCACAACCTTTGTCGAGAGAAAAACCTTACGGTATCTATTATGCAGAGGTCGACCCCTAATAAAATGATCCCTGTAACCTTTGTAACCTGCACGTTGTGTCAATATGCATATATCTTATATTTGAGTTGCTTAATTTATTAAATATTTGCTCTTGTTATGATACCTTAATTTCGGATAATGATATGATACTCACACACCAATTTACCCTTATATATATATAATATACCCTTATATGTATATATATATATATATATATATATATATATATATATATATAGGTATATATATGATTTGATTTTAATTTAAGTAACCCGTTGCCCTTCCACAAAAATGCATCGTATGTTTATTATCTAATTTCACACCTACTTACAACTAGGTCTATTCATTCGTTCCAAATTTACCGCTCGGTTTACGTTTTAAATGCTTTTATATCGATTTTGCAGCGATTTGTCACCAAAGGTTTATGTCATTAATTAAATGCGACATTACAGGACATTATAGCAAGCGACGATAATTTCTTTGCGCGCATTGGAAATTACTTTGGTGCTAAAGTACGACACCGTTAGAAAAAAAGCAATGAACTCGATTTCTAATCAGCTTGCCGGACTAAAAACAATTAAGGATTTAATTAAAGGATTCCGATGGAGAATTGTTGAGTTACAAATGATAGTTTAACGAAAGTCAGTCATTTGTGATATTATTTGAGACTAGACTATTTTTTGTTCGGGAGGCATTGTGTTGTTCGGTGATGCACAAGTTAATTAAAAATATGTGCGTAAGTGCAATTAAATTAGAGCTACCTATGTGAGTAATTATTTTATAATCAGAGATTAACAGTCTAAATTTGTTTTCATTACCGGAGTTGATGCGGAGCTTGTAGAATGTTTATAAGGGATAACTGATTTTCATAAAAACATAGAAACGGGATTTAATGCAAAATAACACGTAATAAGTTTAACTTCAAAACACTTTATAGATACTTATTAATTACAAATACATTAAATCCCCGTAAACCAAAGTACGCACATTTAAATTTCAAACACATTTCAATTATCTGCAATTATATTAATTATATTGCGCAGACACGTGCTTGTGTGTCCTAAAATCGTAAAATATAAATTAATGTATATAATTCAACCAATTTTCGTAGGCCATCAATGAATGAACTTGATATCCATGGTATCAAGTACTTGAGTAGTCACCCGTACATCGGAGCACAGAAATGTACGGCGTGATGTACTTCACAAATTCATAAAAATCTCAGTCAAAAATTTATATATTGTTCAACTTAAAATGACAAGGATTGGTTTTTTAGTGCACTGTGAACATTTATAATATGAAATAATTAGGATTGTGCATTGTGAACATTTATAATATGAAATAATTAGGATTGTGCATTGTGAACATTTATAATATGAAATAATTAGGATTAATTCAATTACATAGTCCACTGAAGATGACACAAAACAATGTGTCGAAACGTATGGAATAAATAAAAATGTTTTAAAGTCATACAAATTTTTTAATTGATGTATTGCCCTGAAAACTGAATATCATATATATATATCATATACATGGTCTTTGATATTATATAATGATTTAAATTAGTGGTAACATTTTTCAAACAATTAGAAAAGCATAGTAGACTGTTCACTTACTTCTTTGCTAAATCCAAAGCCATTTTCGCAAATCTTTTTTTTATGAAAATTATTTTAATCACTTTTAAATTTGTGAAATTCAAATTTTCGACTTATTACATCATAAAAGCGTCATTTGGCACAAATATTTACTATGAGATTTTTTTAAATTTGTTGTATATTTGAAATTAAACAACTTGTCGTAAGACTGTAACATTATAGTATATGTTCTATAAAACGATAATTGAATTTTTTTTGAAAATCGTCGAAAAAGTTTTTTTTAACAGTTAATTACAAGAAAACAGCCCGACCGATCTTTACCAAACACTAATCAGCACGATTTCCTTCCAGTATCTTTCGAAAGGTTTTTAAATTTTTAAAATCTATTTAGGATTGTAGGGTAAAACTTGGATGCAAAATTTCATTTTTCTGCTATTAACAAAGAAACGGCTTGGCCGATCGTTGCACAAAACTGACAAATTATAGTCCCTATTGAGTTACATCGAATGGCTTTTAAATTTTTAAAATCAGTCCAGCAATTTTTGAGCAAACGTCGACGAGGAGTCAAAAATTTACTCACACACACATATACATACATACTTTTTCTAATTTAGGTCTTATTCGATTCATAATGGCTCAAACACAAAATTAGCAAATCGGATGTTTTGGCAAAAACCTTAACTTTTTCTTCGAAAAGTGAATAATTTCTTAACTAAATCAATTAAGTATTCCTTAGTATTTATTAATGTAATTTTGAGAAGCGCATCCCGTTGCCCCAGTTGTCATTTTAATTAGAATTATGAGCAGTCGGTTGGCCTGCGGACTAGAATTGCATTTTGTTGCGCGCAGTGTATTTATTCTGTGTAGTGTTTCCTTACTCAGCCCATAACGCTCGCTCTCTTTCTTCCTTATAGAAAGATGGGCTTTATGTAAATGATTTGC